AGAGAGGGCTTTCCAGGCATACCTCTGGCAGGCTCCCAACTTGGTGTCTCCATGGGGCTTGCTCATCACCATAAAACTACTTCTGGAGTTTTTATTGGAAAGCATGGATTTCTGGGGCACCAGAGTCACTCATTTTTCCTTGTGTGGTTGCCTGGTCTTCATGTTCCAAACCATCTCTAAAGCTTTAAACTATAACATCATCATCATCATCATCATCATCATCTGTGTTTGTCCCCTGAATGCACAGCCTCTGCTGCTCAAGGCAATGCTTGCACAGACATGTGGAATTTCTGGAGGAGCAATGGAGCTAGTTGGAGGGACAACTCCCAGCTGCCAAGATAATTCTGGTATTTCAATTCCATTTTCATCAAACTGGGACTATACTCCCAGATATAATATTTTATTTGACTTAACCTGAGCATCCAAAGGCTTTCTGTCTTGCTCCCGCTCAATTTCAATTTTCAAAAATGCGATCTTTAGAAATGTATTAACATACTGACATTGTCAACAAAATGTTGCATTTTGATTTAGTAACATCTGTATTTTGTGATGAAAGAGTGCTTTCTTGGAGAATGTGTCTTCTTACAGCTAGCATTCATCTCCTAAGCTGACTTCCTAAATGCAAAAGGAAACAGGTTTGCCAAGGGGTCCATACACCGAGATCAGAGTTTCTGTGAAGTGTTTGTCCCTGATAAATAACACAGATACTTGCCAGCACCTTGGGCTCATCTTCCCCTGGCAGGGGGATGCTCCTGGGGAGCTCTGAGCATGCAAGCCTGTGCTGGTGGGTTTAGTGCAGTCAGGAGCTATGGTTCATCCTGCAGGGCTCTCTTGAGTTGCTCAAGTCATGCCATTTCATTCCTAAACTACAGCAGGTAACTGGCATATGCTGGAAAAACCTTCCCACTTCTCTGCTTATCCCTGAGTGCTGACTGCAGTCTGCACAGCCACGCTGCAAGGTGATTCCAGGCCCTTGCCCTTTAGTGAGGGTCTCACCCTGCAAACTGCAATGCAGAAGTGATGCTCCACCCCTAAGGGAAACATGAAGTTACCTGCAAAAAGATAGACATTCTTCACCAAATCTAATGAAATGTTAATTTCGAGCACCCCTTGAAACCCCTTTAATTGCAATCCCTTGGCAAACCCGTTGTATGCTAATATGAGTATGTGAAAGTGGGGCAGTTTTATTCCACAGGAGCACTGCTCATGCATGTGCTGGGTCATGATTTTTTATTACAGAAATGTACATGGGCCATATTTTATTCCCAGTAGCTGTTTAGAGCCAGCCCAGCATGGGAGCTCAGAGGTCTTGCTCACTAACAGCCTCTCTGGCTGAGATAAATGGACTCCCCATGACAGTACAGAATGTGTTGAATTTCAGGAAATCTAAATTCCCGTATTTTTCTGGGATGTCCTAAGTCTGAAAACACCAATTTTATCAACTGGCTCCAGTCTGTCTTAAAGACATGTTTGAAATATGTAATTTTAGCTCTGAAAGGAAGTATTTAGCTAAAGAGCCAAGAACATACTTCAGATGAAAAGTCTTGCTTCCTCCTCTACTGAAACATGTCCAATAAAAGTTCGTGAGGAATTTTAAGGAAATTTGGTTAGATTCGCATGCCACCTGCTGCAAAACAAGCTACATCAGTTCTGGTTTTCCCCTTAGCCCTGTTGCAGTAAATAACAGAGAAAGTATGCATATATGAGACTCCTGGTGTTCTTCTTCAGCATTATAATTTTCCTCTGTTATGGCTCAGTACCCTGTGTTATTTTGACAGTGGTGTTATCCACAAGAAGTTACCCATGCTATTCAAAGTCAGTCTGTGGCTGAAAGGGGAGAGCAAGAAAGAAAGAAAAGAGGCACTTGAAGAACCTTTGCATGACTTCAGAGATTTTTCTGAAGTCAAAAGGTTTGTGTTAAGAACCAGAACCATCATGACTCATATATTCCTAATCAAAATGCTGGGTGCGTGAAAAGCTGTTCAGTCGTTCAGAGACTGAACTATGACTCCTTACAAGAGGAAAATAATACACACAAGGGGAAGCACTTAAATAATTGATGTGCTTTTCTTTTATCTGCTTGTAGGAGTGACAAGAAATCTATGTAGCTGGCACTAATGGATAGCATCTGTATGTCAATAATTGCTAATGAGGAAGAAATAGGAGTGCATTTGTCCTGAAGTGACTGATCTTTCTTTATCTCCCTGTGTTACAATGGGAAATTATTAGAGTAAATTTTAGAATTCTGTTCACTTCCAAATCTCAAAAGGCTTTCAAATGTCTTTTTTTGGTATGAATTCAATCCAAAATGACTGTACACTTGCTTACATGTAATTGCATTCTGTCATTTAAGATCCCCTTTTTTTTTTATCTTCTGTACTACATTCAAATAACAAAATAAAACCTTGTTTGCATCACATGTTTAATTTTCCATTCCACAACAGTGAAAGGGTGCAGCCACACTGGAATTGAACAGAAACCAGTAATTTAAAAACACCCAAGGCTTTCATCATGAAAAATTGCATAACCATTTCCAGCACTGAAGTAGGATGCTGTTACTGAAGAGAAGCAAGTACTAAGAGTACTTATTTAAGAAAATAAAATCTCTTGAAAAATTATTGGCGTATCAAGCTGTTCATATCCAGCTATTTAAGTCAAAGATTGTATTCAGCCATTCCCCCCAAGTCGCTTCTCTGAGGGAACAATTACACAGCTGTTCCTGCTACATTCTTGTGTAGGCTGAAAGCAGTCTAAAAACTCTGGCATTAATTTCCTGTAACTACAAAGTGCAGTTCTCCAGGTTGTTGGTGAGGCATACCCTTTGCAAAGAGGTTACTGAAGCAGTACATACACTTGACACTAATATTGTGCTTTGGCTAAACTTATTTATAGCCGTGTGCATGTGTGTACACGGGCGCACGCAGAGGGCTGTGGGGTTTGTGTTCGAAGCAGGGCTCTGGATTGCAGCCACATTGCAGTGCTAATGATATCTGTCACTGCACCAACTTTCTGTAGCTGTATTATCTGGCTGCTTTCAAAACTAAGGATTTTAGAAGACCAGTCCCAGCTTTCTATGCTCGCTGGATTCAAAAAAGGGGCAGTTCTGCCCTAATCAGTGCATTAGAAAGTTTGATGATGATGGTTTTTTGCAACTCTTTTTATGGACTGTGAAGATTTAAAGTGCTGAAGTTTTAAACTTCGACCTAGCTAGTCAAAGAGCAATAGCTACAAAAAAAATTGTTCCAAAAATCCCCGACCTGAAAAACAAGCTGGCAGCAACTGGTTCACTAAGATTACTTAATAACTCTGATGGAGTACCACCATTTCTCTCTCCACTGCTGGTTTTGTGCATATTTCTGTATGCATATATGCATCCACACATCTGTAAGTACAGGAACCAGAATATTTGCAAGGTGGATGAAGCAGGTGTCCCTTGGAACAGGTTGGTTGTGTCTGACATGGGGCAGGGCGAGTCCTGCTTCCTGGGAGCAGGCCTGGAAGCAGGGCTAGACAGCATGGGAGAATTATTGGGGGAACAGAGAGAAATAAACCTTTGCTCTGTGTATGCTGGCACATTTCTGATCCACATCTAAACATCATTTTAATTTTCATTCCTGCCTATAGAAATTAATTCCTTCCCTCAATGCATCCACGAATGTTTTTCTGGAAGAAAACTTGAAGGTCCTTTCAGCAGCAAAGGTAATTGAGATATCAGTAACCTCTGCACACAAGATGCCATGCACTCTTAATATCAGTTTCATCATTAATATCAGATGCCAGCTGATACTGATACTGTCACGCTGAAATATCCCACCCCCAGCTCAGAGTGCTTAATAAGCAAACCGGGGCCAGGGTCCTAAAATCAAAGCCTGGAGAAGTGAAACTTTGCTGATTAACAGTTCACCCCTTTGAGCAGGTAAGCAGGAAATGCTCATTTTCATCTCTCCTGTCTTTAGCTGATAGTGTCAGCCCAGGGAATTGTGCATGGTGCAGCTCACTCTGCACCATATACATAATTTATATTTTTCCACTCTAGCTATGAGTGCGCTGTTTTAGACTTGGGATTTGCTTTTTAAAATGGAAACAGAGAGAGAAGGAAAAAAGAAAAATCCTGTGGCATCCTTCTCCAGCCACACTTTTTAGCCTAGAACCTCATCTTTGATGCACATCCTTCACAAACCTATGGAACAGGACTGCTGTACGTGTTGCATATAGCTATACATGTAAGAAGATAAATGCTTGCCACGGCAAAAGAAAAAAAATAAAAGGTGTTTCCAGTAGTCCATCTCTTTATTAGCAAAATGCCTTAGCAGAGAATTAGGCTATCATTTTGACAAGAGTTTCCTTTTGTACAGGCAGCCTAGATAATATTTACAGTTCCTATAGAAGTTTTTAAAAACCAGCTGAGAAACATGCTTGCTGACATGCTCCTCTTCTCAGTGAAGTTTGACAGATACAGCCCTAAGCTCTAGTAAAGGATTCCTTCCCAGATAAATGCAGAGTGTGTAATGCACTTATATTAAAAATAATGTAAATTTCTATTTCCTTTCAGCAAATAAACCCTTTGCATTACATTTATCTGTCCTCGCTGTGTCCGTTACCATGCAGGGAGGTTTATCAAGGAGCAAACAGGGCGCACACACAGCGCCTGGTCCCGCAGCAGCCATCCCCACAAACTCTCCTTAGCGAGCTCAAGACTGCACACACCGATACCATCCTTTGGACACCGACACTTCTGTCCGTCTGTCTCAGTCCCAGAACCCTTCCTCCTGCCCAGCCCCTGTGCCTTCAGAGAAAATCCAGGCATCGCCACCCTCAGCAGCCCGGCACACGGGCTGGTGAGGCACCGCACCAGGGTGTGCAGTGCTTTCAGGGGCTTGCTCCTCTCCCTGGGCGGCTCCGGCTCCCTTGGGAAGCAAGCGGCTTCGCGTGTGGCTTTGCAATCGGAGAATGTGAAGCGGGCGGCAGGACACCGGGGTAAATATAAATCTGGCGCTTACCCACAGGCAGTCCCTCGCAGTCTGACATCGTGGGAGAGGTCCTCCTCACCGGGGGCTCGGGAAAACCACTGCAGCACCGCAAGAGCGGCTCCTTCCCTTTGCAAAGGCGAGGGGGAAAAAATATCTTAACAGTTTACAGCCACCCTTCTCCTGCACTCCACATCTACCCACCCACAGAGCTGTAGCAACAGTCCCGTCCCTGCCTTCTCATTATGGGATGTAAAGATAAGAATGTGCTTTTGTGCCAAAAGAGTGTGCTATTGGTGGATAAATTTGTTGTCATCCCTCCCCTTCGCAGAGTTTCCTCTTTAATGTCACAGAGGCACATTACCCTGTCGGAAAGGCCATCGAATATTTATGAAACGGCTTTTAAGAGCTAAGCCGCGGATGTGGCGGGGAACAGAGCTAATGGCTGTGCCGTGGGGAGCTGCTGGGAGCCACCCGCAGGGCTCTGCTGCTCCCCGGGGCTGCGGGGGCAGCTGATGGGCTGGGGGATGGACAGGCTCTGACACCCTGCTCTGTACCTGCTCGCTCTGCAGGGTCCGACTAACACTGCTGGAAAGGGGACAGAGGCCAGGGTGTATCTCTTTAAGGAGGAAGGAAAAAAAAAAAAAGAAAAAGCCTTTGTTTATATTGTAATATCTGAGAAAATGTATTGTGACACTGTTACCAAAGGCTATTTCATAGTTTATAATAATACTGTGAGTGCAGATTTCTCTGTAACTTCATTACTTTTCTTGCTTAAAGCACGCCACTTTAATGCCAGTTTAGTGACTGCTCCTGCAACTTATTTTTTTAATCTTTGAAAATGTTTATGTGGGATTTGCTGGCTACGAGATTCCCAGACTCGCACAGTGAGTGAGAGTACCCATGCACAGTGGTGTGCTCATTAGGCACCTTAATGAAGTGCAAGCAAAGGCTCTGGCAGCGCTGGAGCCAGGCTGGGCTTGGCAGAGACGTGCAGGACCTGGTGAGAGCCCCACAACCGGGGGGTGCTGATTTGCTGCCACTTCTTCTCCTGGGAACAGTCAGGAACAGCCTGGGCTTTGCCTGACTCAGACCCTTCGTGTCTGAGCCCTTCACAAATGTCAGGGTTTCGGACCCAGAGCCGGAGGGAGGGCTGGGAGGAGGCAAGGGTGGCTCCATGGGGGCGGTTCTCTGGGAATCACTTCCAGACCATGTGGCCAGAGACATCCCCTGGGGGAAATGAGCCACCGGGAATACCTTTCTTCAAAACGCCTTCAAGAAAAAAAAAAAAAGGCATAAATTACATGAAGTATACTAGGAGCTCAGGGTGCTCAGCACCTCTGAAAAATTTGGGCTGTTTTTACTCGGATGCTTCAGCCTAAGCTCCCAAAGGCTGGCACTGCTGGCTCTGCCTGAGCTCTCTCTGAAGAGAAGCCTGTTAATACTCTGCTGGTTACTCAGCATCACAGCTAGCCATGGATTCAATTCAGCATGTCAGGCCTCTGACTAAGAAGCAAAAATAGCTGCAAAAGTAGATTGTGACATGTTCCCAAAAACATTCCTCGGGTTGCCTACACAGGGTTGAGCAAGCAGAGCCAGAAGTGTCCGGTGGCCACTGGGGCTGGCCAGCATGAGGATCTGTTGGCACAGCTGTGTCAGGGGAGCCCTTGTCAGTGTCTGCTTCTTGATCTGCTCACACAACACACGTGGAGATATTCAGTGGTGTAAGGCTGATCCGGAGGGCAGCTCTGAGGAGAAACAGAGCCCTAGGCTGTGCTCTCTGCCAAAGAGGCTGTACAAGGAGAAGTGCAGGGCATCACGCCTAACCTCTCCATCCTGCTGGCACCCACAGGCCCAAGGAGTGGCCACTAGCTCTCCTGGCAGTCAGGGGAATGTCTGGTCTTGATCTTGGTATGCATCTGGGAAAGGAAGACAGCCTAAACCAGACTGGGGCACTTTTCTTGCAGTGTCATCTGACTGCAGAGACATATTGCCCCAATGTGTGAGAATCAAAGCTTTCTTAGCTCAACCCTGTGAAAGCGCAGGCTCCCAGCTCTGCAAGCATTTACGTGCCAATTTAACTTCAAGCCCCACTGAAGTTCCTGGAACTGCTCACAGCTATAAACACATGCATAAGTATTTGCAGGATTAAGGGCTCACCATTCCTCCTTGTATTCGGAGCAAACAGCTGCAGCTGGTTTTGAAGTTACCTCTCACAGCTGTGTGCTGGTGCTCCTCCACTGAAGGTTAGAGCCCTCTAGCAGAGCTGGACAAGTGCCTGCGGGGAAGGCACGCCAAATCCCAGACTGGTGTCTCAGCTCTAGCTCATCCTCCAGGGGAATTTGAGAAGCCTCTGCCTCAGTAACCCCTGTTACATTGTCCATGGCCACGTCTGCTGCAGGTGGTCAGCATCTTCTGGGCGAGGGGCAGGCAAGCCAGCAGAGAAGACTGAGGGAGAAGGAAAAAAACCATCTGAAACTACTGCAGCAAAGTTGGCAGGAGCTCATCTGCCAGAGCCCTTACTAGGATTTGGCCTTGGGAGAGCTCTTCAGTGAAACACTAAAGCAGGTCAAAAGTTGAACCAATCAGACCTAATTCTTACAATGATTCTCACAAACAAACACCTTCTTTTGATGCGGATACTTCAATCAAAAAATTAGCTTTGATCCTTGGATACTTTAGTTATAATGCTGGGCTTTGATAAATTGTAAGACTTTTTTTTCTTTGATTAAAACAGAGTATTTATTTTAGCTTCCCCTTTTTCTCAGCCTGAAAAGAGAAGAGCCATGTTTGCTCCTGGAAAAAGGCCAAGCCTGGAAAATTTAAGTCTGACAGAGAAAGTTTTGGACATTTATGAATAAGTCCGGTGTCTGCCATGGCAAAAAAAAGGCAAAAGTCAAAAATTGAAATAAACAATAAAAGGTAAGAGATAAAGCATATATTATTTCAGCAGGTATTAAACTAACGTGAGAAATGGGATAAATATTTGCCAATAACTGCTTGCACTTAGGCTTTCCAAGGAACCAGAAGGATCCTTATCCCTCAACATGCAGAGAGAACCATTTATGAATCTCTCTTCTTCATTCTACTCCCTGACAGACAGCCATCTGCATAAATCCATGACACCTACTGTGAGTGGGGTGGTAAACACAATGTATGGAAGGAACTCACTGGAGTATTTCCTAAAAAAATATTTTCCTGGACTGTTTTGTCTCCTGTGGAAGACAGTTGCATATTCCTAATGCATCTTGAAGTACTTAAGCAGTTGCTCCCTCTCTGGAGATTTCCAGGAAGAATTATCTGCCCAGGAATGTTGTGGATGTCCCATCCCTGCACACACCCAAGGCCAGTCCTGACAGAGCAAAGGGCTTTTGAGATACAGAGGCCCTGGAGTTGAGCTGATATGCCTGGGGAAAGAGGGCATATTTGGGGAAACTTGGGTGCAGGGCACCCACCATGGCACAGGCACACAGCCACCTTAGAGCCCAAACACTGTCATCTACACGAGTAGGACATGTAGTGGGGCTTTGTTTCTCATCTGTGTGTTTACACATCCCATCTGATCTGTGCCTGATCTAAGTGCCTAAATATCATGGAAAATCTGGGCTTTAAGGTTTTAAATCCCATGGGGAGGTCATAATTTTCCCTGCACCCTGAGTCAGCAATCTGACTGCGAAAAGAGCCTGATCCACCTGGAAGCTCCCAGCTGGACCAGAGCTTTTGTTATTGCTGACTTGCCTCTCACTCAGCCGTGGATGGAGCCAGCCTCATGCAAACCTCACAGGAAGAGCAGGGAGCTGTGCTACACACTGTGGGATCTCAGGCCCTGCCAGACTCTGGCTGCCTGCTGACATCACTGGTGGAAGGGCTTTGCTAAGCTCAGCACTGCTGTAGGGGCATGGGTGAGCTGTTCTCTCTCCCTCTGCCTTTCTCTCTCCTGACAGAGGGAAATCCTGAGAAGCGAGAATTATTTCTTTAGCTAACCAAGTCAGATCTGATTATGAAATCTGCAATTTTCCGTGAGATTGAAGCAAGCGCCTTACTGCCCGCTTCGGCAGGCATTTATATCTCCCATCAGCGTGATTTCCACGCAGTTTAAAGAGAGAATGGCTGAAATGTGCTTCTCCTTTCTAATTTATGCAAATTCCCTTGGGTTTTTTCCTGCCGTCTGAAGAGATTTCTGACTGTTGTGTATGCAGGATTCACGGCCTGGGGAGGGGGAAGGGAAGGACAGGGCTAAAAGAGAAATTGCAGGCTGGTATAAGCAGGTTGGCATCAGGATAAGGATGACCTCTCAGAGCACTGAAGAACCCAAAATATTAGGAATTTTTTAGCTAAGACAGGTTTTTTCCCCCTGGAAAAACCCTCCAGTCAAGGGGATGGCATGTGCCTTTCTGTCCTCTCATGTAAGGGGTAAAATTAACTACAACTTTTGGATTGCTCCCAGTTAAAGGGCAGAGAAGCAAGAGGGGAGCGTGCTGGCTGGCCACCACCAGCCCCACTGTCAGCCCCACATCTCCTGAGTCACTGATGGGGCCTTGGTGAGGTCACAGATGTACCTGCGGGGTCAGTGGACCAAATCCAGGGCCAGTGGGATGCTGTGCCACGAGGACATGCAGCAGAGAAATGAGCTGCTGGTCAGATGGGCTTGAACCTCTGTTCAGCAATCAGCAGAAGGAAAAGCAACCAGGTTCAGCGAGAAGCAGAGCACCCAGGAAGTCCCAATTATTGGAATTTTATTTCATTATTGTTTTCTAACACATTGTCTTCACATTTCATCTTGATGGATGGGGAGTGTTGAATGCAACTTCAAGAGGAGCTGACGCTCTGACAAGATCTCGTGTGGGTTCATCCAGAGAAGGAAGAGTGAGTAAAAATAGGCAAGATACAGCTGACAGCTAAAATAGCCCTCTAGGAAGCAACAAATACAAAAGTAATAGCAGCTCCCCAGAATAACTAGGCACGTCATAATTTTGCATTTATCTCTATTTTTTTTAATGTTATTAGCAAGATTTTCACTAGTAAAAATTGAATCTGAGCTTTGTATTCAAGAAAGGAAATGTCTCCATCATCTCCTCTGATGTCACCCCAGAGAGAAGATTAGAAGATTAACTATGTCAGGTGACACCAATCCAGCAGCAGGGAAAATAATTTTGCACATTCAAAAAGAAAATGGGGAAGAAATTCCAGCTATCTCCAAGAAATGTGAACCTTAGCAGTGATAAC